TATAATATATTGGCCTATGTTTTTTTTTAATTATTTGGGTAGGTTAAGATTTATTCCTTTGCATGAAGTACTTTTTCTTGATTTCATTTTGCTTATTTTGTTTAAACTGTTCCATTGGAGCTTTGGTGCATTTCTTTATGAATTTTTTGTATTTTATATTACTTAATATTAAGTTTTAAGTTCGGTTTAGTTAAGTTTTGCCTGTTAATGTTTTGATTTATCCTCTTCTTTTTCTATTGTATATTTTGTAAGACCGCACAACTGATTGTGAGTGCCACCGATACAAAGATGAAGTGTCACAAATAAATAAATAGTGTTATGTGATTTATTGTTAAGTATTGACCTTTAGACATGTAATGTCCTCACTCTTGGACCCTGAGGTCAGCCAGGTATTTGTTAGTGACCAAACCAGCTTTTATGATACAGTACAATATTACTAAACACAGAAATGAAAAATATGTAGAAGATTTTTCAATTATTATTTTAATAAGATGGCAATTTGTATGCCTACATTTTTCTTATGATGGTCAGAGCAATCTCACCAAAACGTTAAGATAATCAACCAGTGATTTTACCTCAAAAACCATATTGTTACACCTCGTGTACCCCTGGGCGTTGATCGGTGGGGAACAGGGGAAAACGTCCCCCACTTTCAAAGTTAGGGGACACCATCAATTAAACCCCCTCCCCTTTTCACCAATCACCATTTTAAAAAAGCGAGTGGAAGTATCAATGACACAATTTTGTCTTTTTGACTTGAGCTCTGTTTCCAGTGCGGTGCATATTTAATCACCAAAACCGAATAAAAAGTTGTATTTTATACCTTAGTAACCACTCCATCGATTTATGGTTGCAAACAGTTATCAGACGCTCAATTTACTGTAAAAATAATGTACACTTTGCTTTGCGTTAAAATTGGAACCTATTAGCCAAACAATTTGAAAACTTAAAAAAGTGCACAATTTCGACTGTAAACGATTTATTTCTTTTGTATATTAGTAAGACCTGTATATTGTTTAATAGTATCTGCATACATACTGTAGATTCATGTTTTTCCTAATTTCAAAAGTAGTTATAATCTCAATATTACAATTTTCTCCCATGTGCTTAACCAGCAAGTTGTAAAACTCACCCCAATTATCACATATTATTCTTTTGGGAGCTCCATGAATACCTATCCAGTGTTTATAAACATGATAACAACAGTTTTAGGTTCTTTATTAATAACAATACAACCTGCACTGAATCTGCTATTCTCATCAATGATATATAAATACCATAAACTTTTATCTAATTGATGTAGGTCAACAGTTTTCGATTACTTCCTGCAAAACTTCTTTGTTAAAAACATGCATGAACTAGAGAGCACTCTCTCACCAAGAGTGCATACCTCCATCCACATCATAATTATCCTCTGATGTTATGTTTAGTACAGACAATGAAATAATTAAAAGATAATGATAAAAAAAAAATAGACATCATGGGATTCAAACCCGAAGCAAAACACATCAAAGAAAGGCAAACACAGTGCTCGAACAAAGGACACAGCGTCGCTCTCAACGAATGAGAGCGACGCTATATAAATTTATTGGAAATTTAAGAACATGATTTTGATTTATTTAAACGCATTTACTATTTTTTAATAGTATAATCATCTTTTTCCAGTTTAGTTCATTGTGTAGACGTTACAGATTGGAGTATTGAGACAACATGTCCACTGATCAAGAAACACAATTTATTTTCTTCTGTAATGGACGAAAGGTGTGTACCATGTTTTAGGTTACGTCTGAGACTACAGACTACGTTATTCTTACTATATTATACAAATTTTTGTATAGTTTCAATATTCTGACGAATAACCAGAAATGTTGGACTGGACACGTTTCGGCCACTGTGTACTCCTAGTAATGAATTGGCCAGTACATCAGGAGCAATAACTTGCTTTTCTGAAGAATGTATTACTTAACGTGCACGTAGGGATAGAATATAATTACAAACCATGGAATAGTAGAGATGGTTTGGTGGCTACACCTAGTTGCTCTAAAAATAGGCTTAATTATTTGTTTAAACTACAAACAGTGTAGTATAAAATACTTTATAATAATTTTATACAAATGTCTTATTCAGATTTAATTAATATATACGGTATAGAAATCATTGAATTTGTTTTTAATGTTTGGTTTACGAACATCAAAATTTGACTCGAAATTCTTTTACTGTAGTAAATAGTTGATTTAGGACTTCTTTGACTCCAGTTTTCTAAAGCTGGGCTTCCACTTTTGTTTATGCTTCCAACTTAAAATTGTTGCTTATTTTCAGATTACTGACAACAGTGTTGATCCAAGCATGATGTTGCTCAGTTATCTGCGACTGAAATGTATCCTAAGTATTATTGAATTTTAGCAATTGTAATAATTATTATGATACAGTATTTTAGTATCTGTACAAATTACCGAATTACATATTTTTATACTCAATTTTTGATCTATTTTTCTATTTTGCAATAATATAATGATTTTTCTTAATGAACTTTTGTTGTCATAATTTTTCTATCTATCTATCTATCTATCTATCTATCTATCTATCTATCTATCTAT